CAGAGATGGTGATGAGAATCCAATTAGATGAGGATGTGCTGGGAGCTCCCTGGAAGAAAAGCACCATCATAAAGTCAAAGAAGTTTGGACTAGAGGGGGGTTCAGGAATCACTGCGTCTGGGCTCCTCATTCTACAGATGGAAAAACTGAGGCTCAGAGAAGGTTGTGAGATGACCAGTCCCAGCTTGAAAACCAGTGTCCACATTTTTTGAGCTGGAGGGAGGAGGAGGCAAATAATTGCAAGGAAACCCTCCCTTTGTAAGGGATTTGGAGATTTAGAGTGTAATGGAGGAGAGAGGCAGACCCGGGGCTTCAAGCTCAGCCCTGCCAAGGGCTACCCACATGTTGTGGAGCCAGTTACTGAGGCTGGTTCCTCATCCGTGAAATGGACATTACAATGCCTTATTCACAGGCCTGCCGACAAGATTAAGTGAAATCATATTTGTAAAGCACTTGGAACCCAGTAAGTTCCCCAAACACGAATTGGTTCCCTTCTCTTGTTTTATCTTAAACAGCGTCACAAATGCTTTCAAACAGGGAGTCACAAAGGGAACATTTTCTTTCAGAGCTGAATGTTACAAAAGACAATTGTGAACCTTGGATTCCCTCTCCCTTGGGGGCTTTTCTTATACAGTCAATGTGAAATGGCCATTCTCCCTGTCAGTGTAATGAGGAAGTAGAAATATTGCTTCTCCCTCCTCCCCCACTGCTTCTGCTGTGTAAGAGCTTCCTCACAGGTACACGGGGCAGCAGCTTTTAATGGAGACTTCACAGAGAGGAAAGTGATTTCTACAAGATTAGTTGAGCGGTGAGACTAAAACAGTTATGATCCAATAAACATACTGATTAGGGTCATTTGTGCTTCCTCCCTCCCTCCTGCTACCTGGGCAGGCCCGGAAGGAGCCTGCAAACAGCTGAGGCTGGGGATGCTGTAGGATGGAACAGTCAGATTAGACATCCCACCTACAAGGCAGGGGCTTCAGGTTCTGTTAACCCCTGCCCTGCCACCAGATCATTCTTTTTCTGCACCTCATTTCTCTGTATGTCAAAGGTAGAAATAGGAAGTGGGCTGAACTTGGAACCAGAACTCCCCAGGTTTAAGTCCTAGCTCATTCATTCATTCACTCACTGTGTACAAGGCTCTGTGCTACATGCCTTTGGTCCTCAGTTTGCTTATCTAGAAATGGGTATATATAATAATGCCAACTAGAGGCTGGTTTTGGAGATTAAGAGAAAAACACACACAAGAAGCTTCCACCATGGAATATAGAAGAGCCAGCAACTTTTCATTTTTTTCTAAGGTTCCTTCTAGTTGACTTTCTCTGGTTCTATGAAATTATTTGCTGAGCAGTTGGCATGAATTAAACTGGAAAGCAGATTTTTAAGCAGCCAAGAAGGAAGTGGCTCTTTATAAGGTTACAGAACCAGGGCCCTGTTACAACGGCTCTTTGAACCTTAGGAAGCACGGGGCCTTCTCCTCCATCTGGTCCAGTAGACGAGAAAGAGGGTTGGCTGGCCTGTGCCAGACAGCACATTCCTGAGCCTATTCAGTGCCATGCTGACATCTCAGTTCTGGCCCCTCACAGTCTGAGCAATTGCTGGCTTTCCACATCCAAGGGTGGCAGGCACGGCTTAGTAAAATCGTGAAAGGCGTTGGCAGGCTTCTGTCTGCTCAGGAAGCTGCAAGGTTAAACCGTGTTCATAGTGACCTCTAGTGGCGAATTTCCAAAATAGCATGCTAGCTGGAAACATGGCTGCTGAATCTTCTGAGAATGACCTAGATTTAGAAAGTTAGGGCTAAAAGGGGCCTAGTTCAAATGCTGGCTTGATGAATGAGGATACGGAGTTCCAGAGGTAAAGTGATTTGCCCAGGGTCACACCAAGGCCTCACGGCTCTGTCCACAAATAGGCCATCCGTGTTCCAGATGCAGTCAAGGATCGTGAATTACTCGTTTAGAAGAACAGGAGGTCCCAATTTCTAAATCAGACCAAGCCAATCTTAGAGTAAGACCCTGACTTCGATCTCATCTATAAAAGACTCTTGCTGGAAGATTCCCTTCCCTGGTACTTATCTAAAGAGTAGTAACCCCTTTCCAGACAACAGGGCGCTGAGGCTATGAAGTGCTTTATAAGCAGTCAACTCAGTCACCTAGGCAAATGCACTTTTCATTTCTTCCTCCTCCACAAGTTGCAATGAATGTGGTGCCAAAAGGACTCGAGGATCTGGGGGTAGGAATCATTTCCCTTGTGTGGGGAAAGCTATTTTGACATATTCTAGAGATACACTACAAAAATAAATCAAACTGAGGACTTCCAGAGGGCTTAGGAGAAAGAAGGGCTTGCTGCCACACCAGCTGAAGCCTGGGTTTGGAGACGTGGGGTCCAGCTATTTCTGCAAAGGGATCTCAGTGTTTTCCTGATGGAGGACAATTTATTTGATTCACCCAGCAATAACCTCAAAGCAGTGTGCAAGGTGCTGAGCGGATTCACACAGGGAAGTAAGACAAGATCCTTGCTCTGAGCTTGGTCTTGATTCCAGAAGGAAGGAGAGGCTGCGTGAGTTCAGGTTGCTGATACAATGGGAATGAAGAGGCGGGAGAGGCATGTGGTGGCTTCAAGAGCCACTGGCGGTAACAATCGCTGGCATTTGAGTGTTTTCTAAATGCCAGGCACTGTTTTTTATGCTTTACCCGTACTAGCTCATTTAATCTTCACAATAGCACCACATGAGGTTAGGGTCATTATCCTCTAGTTGAGGAAACCAAGGCACAGAGTAGTTGAAGAAATTTGTTCAAGTTCACGCAGCTGGTAGGTGGTGGAGCTGGGATCTGGGGACCCTGGGAGTGTAGCTCCAGAGCACTTTCAAATATCACACTTGCTGATGACATTTTCCCCGCATTTTCTGTGATGTCTCCTGGCCTCACCATCTTATCCACTCTGGTGCCCGTACAGAGATCATAGTGCCACACACCACAGTCTGATGTCCATGGTGCACTAAATTGGGAGTGGAAGGGCACTGTTTCCTAAATCTCCATCTTAGCTGCCAAAGCTAGAAGCTGTTAAAGCTCATTCTGTGCTTTCAATGGAAAAATCCTCCTCCCCAGTTTCATGTAGGACTTTGCTACTCACAGTGTGGTCCAGTCACCATCTCCAGGGAGCTGGCTAGAAATGCAGAATCTCTGGCCGAATTCTGCACGAGAATGTACATTTTAACAAGTGATTCCTGCACAAGGTGAAGTGCGAGAAGTGCCAGGCTAGGGTCTTTGGGGGCTGTACACCCATCCTACAGTCACTGGTTTGAAGGTCTACTCATTGGCTTGTCTACTCTAAAGCCGGCTCCAAAAAGTGCAGAATCTCTTTCCCGTCCCACCAAAGCGCTATCTCCTTTGTCTCTTGATTTAGCTCCCGAAGGCTCACACCTGTCTTCATGAATCCCCATCTAAGTTATAAAACCATCCTTGCCTTCTCCTCCTAAGCTACACGCACCTCGATCTATCTGTGGTGCTGTGACTGAAATGAGTAATCTGTGCACTAGCGTACCCATGAAACTTGTCCTAACCATACTTGTCCTGAAAGGGTGTGGACACTCATACAACAAAAGGATTAAAATGAGCTCCCCTTATACTGAAACAAGGAGCCCTGGTAGTGCAGTGGTTAAAGTGCTCAGCTGCGAATCAAAATGGCGGCAGTTTGAACCCACCAGCCGCTTCATGGGAGAAAGATGTGGCAGTCTGCTTCCTAAAGATTACAGCCTTGGAAACCCTATGGGGCAGTTCTACCCTGTCCTACAGGGTTGCTGTGAGTCAGAATTGATGACGGCACTGGGTATAATGGGTACACTGAAACAGGAATTTTAACATCTGCAGCTAATTGGCAGAGTCGCTAGAAGTTGTGGAACGACTCACGTTTCACTCTTTGAGGTCACATCCTTTATGAAAACTGGCATATGCCCATCTGTGTGATCACTCCAGCATGTGCTTGGTGTTCCTTTCCAGAAATAACAATGCTCGTGCTGCTCTTTCCACGTGCATGCAGAACCTTCTTTACATCTCCAAGTAGAAATGATACGTATCCCCCACTCCCTTGACCTGGGAAAGTGGGGTTTTTTCAGGGTTATAACTCTGAAAGGTAAGTGGATGGGTGTCCTATTCTTTGCTTCTAGAGGTGATCCAATTATGTTCACCCAGCCCAGACTGAAAGAAATGCACTTCTATTTTTCCAGAGTATAGAATAGTACCTCACACACCAAAACCATTTTAGTGGTTTGTTGTTGGGTTTTGCTTTTTTTGGTGTTGGGAGGAATGGAGAAAGAGGTTGAAGGTGGAGGCTTGGGGAATAGAAACTTGTGGCATTTCATACAGCAAATCACCATTTCCAAAAGTTATAGCGTGATAAGGAACATTAAAGCTATAATCCATCTTCAAGGAGCTATCAGTTTAAGGGAGCAAATATAACACACATTGCCCCTGGGCACACAAGGACAATGCAGGTGGGTCTCTTGCAAGTTCTAGAGATGATTCAGGTCTCTCAGCACATCCACCTGGTTCCACTCACTTGTAATTCCCCCTCACTCAGAAATGCCATCCATATCACTTAATTCCTTTCTTTGGTTCTGCCCTTAAATGAGAAAAGTCCACTGGGGAGCCACAACCCTAAAATAGTGTGAAATCTTGAAGACAGCACCTCTGCAACACTACTTGAGAGGTTTCAGAGGTTAAAACTGCTGATAGAACCTCAGACGACATTTAAAATCAGACCACAGCAGTGATTTTAATCAGCTATGGCATTTTATTTTGGAAATTTCTATGTATTACATAGGTAAGAACTTCCCTCCTTTCACCCTTACCCTTCCAAGAAAACAGGGAGATTTTAAAAACAAAACAAAACCTCAACATATAAAAATTTCTTATCTAGTTTCTTTAAAGTCTTAGGTTAAAAAAAAAAAAAAAACAAGTGGTGCCTTTCTCTTGCATGAGAATGCTGTTGTTTTTTTTTTTTGTTTTTTTAATAGGTATATGTTTGTTTGTTTGTTTTTTAATTGTACTTCAGGTGAAGGCTTACAGAACAAATAGTTTCTCATGAAACACTAGTACACATACTGTTTTACGACACTGGTTAACAGAATGCTGTTTTTTAAGGAGAATTCAGTCTGTCCTTGTCCTCACTACAGATTTCTATTCCTTCCTGTGGAAAAAAATGGTCAGTGCTTCTGCTTCCTTTTAATAAATTCTTTTCTTGATTATTACACATCATCATCCCCCACTTGACACCTTCTTGGGAACTTGATTGTTGGATGCATTTTCCATTTGGCAAAAATTCAATGTGGCTTTGCGTGGGATGTCTAAGTGTCAAGAAAAACAGCAGTGTTGGTGCTCTGGTTTTGAGGGAAAATATATATAGAGATGCATACACTCCCTGGAAGAACAAACGTAGGAGACTGAAACGGTGCGCACAGAGTTAAAAAGGCTGACAGACACTACTTGGTTTTGAATTCTGTGGCTGTCAGCCACTGAAGACTGCAGTGTAGGCCAGAATATCAATCTCCTCAGCAAGAAGTCTGGTTAGACACAGTACATGCACTGACAGAGATTCTACTTCAGTTTATTCCAAGTGTATCAGAGCAGACACACACAAGAAGGAGCAGCATGGGTCATTTGTAGCAGATGTAACTTGTGCCTGAACACGTATGGGCTTTTCTGCAAATGCTCTGTCAACCTCAGCACCGGAGAAAGAGAAAAGAAGCATCCTGTTAAAATATAAAATACTTTTCCATCTCCAACTCACCCAAGACCCCAGGCTTCCTTAGCTCCATGATTTGCAAGGCCCAAATGAAGTTTCCAGTTGTATGTTATTCTAGGTCTAGGTCTGGAAGCTGGTTCCCTGGGGCCATTGCAGAGGACCCAAAGACCTGGGTGTGCCCAGGAAGGTGGCAAGTCTACCCAGAAGGGTATGCCTTGATGATCTTCACATCGTCCACAGGGCGGTCCTGAGAGTTTGTTTCCACCATTCCTATTCGATTCACCATTCCTATGCCCTGGCACACCCGGCCAAAAATGGTGTGCTTGCCATCGAGCCACTGAGTTGGAGCCAGGGTCACAAAGAACTGGCTGCCATTGGTGTCTGGCCCCGCGTTGGCCATTGCGAGAATTCCAGCCCCTGGTAGGAAAAAGGAAGAGAGGAACGAGTATGAATAATCCTCACAGCTCAAGCCTGGAGCTGCTATAGCATCTTAGGGAATGAAAGAAACCAAGATTTTGTCCTGGCCTCTGTTATCAACCACCTGGACCTGGCCAGCTTCCCCTCAGGGCAGCTCTCTGCCCCTGCACAAAGGCTATTGCTGCACTACCCTGATGACTTCATCTCCCCTGCCCTCACTTACTTCCCAGCCTCTATCCTTGACGATCCCCACTAACCACTGGGACAGTTTCCCTATTCCCCTCAAGCACCCAGTGAGGTTTCCTGCTTCTTTGAGGAAGCTTTTGATGGCCTACAGTTTATCACAGCAACATTCAACAAGTAGTTAAGAGCCTACAACGCTCAGAATCACCCAGGACTCTGTGAGAGGTGCCGGTTTCTCTGATCCACCAGGGCTCTTTATGGCGCCGCAGCTGGGCAGCTGCTGGCACCATGCCACGGCGTCAGGCATTCCACCTTGACTCACGGCCAAAAGAGTGAGCTTTGAAATCCATTTCCCCTTCCTACTCAGTCCAGCCAGACTATATACTTACCCGTGAATTTCAAGTCTGGATGAAGTTCGTCTTCAAATTGCTTGCCGAAGATAGACGCGCCACCTCGACCTGCCCGATTAGAAGATGAGAAATGAAATAGCCAGTCCCACCATTCTACCTCACAGCAAGAACTGCAGCCCAGCGTCAAAGGGTTTTTCAGAGTACAGGAAAGGAAAGAGTGGGGAGCATGCCTAAACCCCTATTAGGTACAGCGCAACTACACAATCTTGCTGCCCGCAACTGAATCAAGCACCAACACAACACATTCAAATCACTGGTTTCATTCAGCTAAGACGTTTCTTTTCAAAATACACTCAGAGTGGGTTTTTACCCATTTTTAAAATAATACATATTCACTGTCAAAAATGTAGAAAACATTATCAGAAGAATGCTAAAACCCCTGTAATCTAACCATCTACAGATAGATAACCACCATTCACAATTTGATGTGTTGATTACGAATTTTCTTGATTTTTAACATTTTTATGAATATTTTAGACAGGAATGCCAAGTCCTAACCTTGTACCCATCACATCGCAGACACTGCTAGTCAACCAGCATTCTTTCTTGCTTAGATTGCCTCTGAATCCTTACATAAGAGTTGAAACCTATTTGCCATCCTTAACCTAGATAATGGAAAATAAAATTTATTTAAGTCAACGATATCAAGCGTAAGGAGAAATAGGGACAGTGGTAAGTGGCAATGTGGCAGAAAGGAATAATATCATAGTAAGCAGAGTCAGTTGAGAGAAGAGAGTGTGTCATAAGGAGAAAATGAGGAGACGGGCTCGGGAATGATTTGCTAGCAACATCATTATCAACTGTCATTATGTTAAGTCCACAAGACCACGGTGCTGTGCTGGGCACCCTAAGCACAGGCAGGTTTTGTTTTTAGAGCAAAATGATGTAAGTATGGTTTTCCCACGGGGAAAAAAGTAGAAGGTAATTTTCCTAACTAATGTTAATTAATTATTTAATCAACCACATGCCTTGCTGAGCTACATAGTCTTCTCCAAGTTGAACAGCCAAGACAAAACTGCCTGGAACAAAATGAACATCAGATTTATCTGCTTACTCTGCTTGCCTGGCAGCCAGAGAACAGCCTGGGCACAGGGAGCTCACCTCCCTTCACAGCCTGTGACATCACTAACACATGCAGCCGGAAGCACCGTGATCACCCACGGAAGTCCCCAGGCATTGCTAAGGTATTTCCATGGTAAAAGTCCTTTGCTTTACCTTTTAGGATGCTCATCACCAGGGAGCCTGTCACAGCTGATGTTCAAAGCCCCCACTTTCAAGGAAGAAAACACTGTTCTCATGCAAAGAAGAATGGGGGTGAATCCTAATAAACCAGGAAACCTCCTACCTGGCTCAGGCTACCTACGCTTCTGGAAAATCACTGAATTATACAAAACTATGTAAAAATTCATTCCAAAAATTACAATATGCCAGTATACCATCAAATGGCAATTATGTAACCAATGTTTCCTTTGACTTGGCCCCCTCTGCTCTGCCCTCCTGCAACCAACCAGAGTCAAGGTTCCTGCGTGAGGTTTCCCGGCGCAGGGGTGGTACTGGCAGTGCTGGGGCTGAAGCTGAGAGGAGAGGGAGAGGGTGAGGGCTGTGGGCCAAACAGAGGTCAAGCTCTATATGTGAGCTCAAGTGAGCAAGTTGAGGACACTGAGCTCAGTAGGGCACTGTCCCTCTGCAGACTGAGCCTTCAAAGTGTGATCCCTTCAAGCTGAGAGAGCCAGAACAAAACCTCAAGGCCTCTGCCCTCCAGAAACTGACAGCCATCATATAAACTTCACCTCGAACAAGAAGAGGATTAAGGGACAGGCTGATCAAGAAGCACAGAAGCAGCCTGGGTTTTCAGCAATCAGAAGGAGACGAAGAGGAAAGAGTATGGAGGTTCCTTTCGACTCACTAGGCGTAGTCTGACCAACTACAACCTGTTTGGGTCTCTACTCATGATATGTTGTCTTTTCATAACTCAGCAGGGTTTGCAGCAAAATGTCAGAAAGACAAATAATTCCAATCAAAACATTGCTTCAGGCATACAGAATAAGGGAGAGGGGATAGGGGGACAAGGAGTGATTAAAGAGTTCTCTGGAGCGGCACAGGCTTCACAGACATCAACGATCAGTTATAAAGGCAATAATCCGTAGGCTTTGCAATCGGAAACTTGCTGTGTGCCTGGCCCAGCACAGATATAACAGAGACAGGCACAGACCTGTTTTCTAAGCTCTGCACTCTCAATGTTCTTATACTCTTCTGTCCTTTTTTAAAAAACATTTATTCAGTGTACATAATATTTCAGATATACAAAAGATACAAAGAATAATATGAGAAATGACTGTGAGCCCCCTCCTCAAAAAATAAAATACTGCAAATCCAGTTGAAGACCCCATGCTCACCTCCCATTCTCTCAAGAGGTAACAACTGTTTCAAACGATCACATTTTCCTCATGGGTAACCAGATTCTGAGTGGGAGTTGTCATACCAGCCATTTTTTAAAATTTATTATATATGTATACATCCCTAAAAAAATGTACTGTTGTTTTACACGTTTGTTAGTACATATAATCATATCATACTCTGTGTATGCTTCTGCAATTAGCTTTTTTGTTTACTGTCTGTCAGACCCTTCCATTTTGTTCCATGCAGTCTTTGTAGTAATCATTCGTCTGTATGATTACAACATTATGTCTTATCTTTTCTCACGTGGATGGCTACTTAGGATCTTTCCAATGTTTTTCCTGTTATAAACAATGTTGTAACAACCATTTTCATACTGTCTCCTCAAATACAAGTACAAGAGTTCTCGAGGGAATATACCTAATGGTGGACATGCAGGGTCATAGTTTGAGTGTTTCATCATTACTAGGATTTTTCCAAACGTCTTGCCAAAGAGGTTGAACCAATGTACACCCAACATACACCCCCACCACAGAGCTTTCGTTCTTACTCTTACTGCTCTAAGTCCTTTTGTCAGACTTTCCAACGTTTGCCAGTCTAAGAGGTATGAGATCTCTTGTGGTGGTTTTAACCTGCACTTCCCTGAAGTTGTGCATGATTTCATGTTTACTGGCTAGTTAGCTTTCCTCCTCTGTGAACAGCCACTCTTCTACCGAGTGGTTGACATTTTCATCTTTATGTGTATATTCTGGATACTAACCCTTTGTCAGTTAGTGCTTTGCAAATACCCTCTCCCAGTCGACTCTTTCACTCTTTTATGGGTCTTCTCATGCACAGAATTTTTAAATTTTAATACAGTTGAAATTTCTTAATTTTTTCCTTTATGATAAGTTTT